CGCATGTATGCATGCTGTTCGCTGTTTAGATTGTTTGTGTTCGTGCACACTCTGCCCATGTCGCCTTGGCAGCGTCATTGACTGTGTGTGCACTTGTCTAGTGTTTGTTTGAGCGTGCTGCCCGAGTTGATTTGGCAGCAGCTTGTTGTGCTTGTTCATTCTCCTTGTGTTCTTGTTTGTTGCGTTTGCCTACAGTAAACACACACACACCACCTGTCGTGTCTCAACAGATTATGAGACCCAACCACCCCTGATCATCATCGCTACTTGTCTCACACTCGCTTGTGCGTCTTCTCTCCCTTCTGCTTGTTCCCCTCTCTTGTTTCTCCATCACCTTTCTTGAGCGTGCAGTATGTCTGACCCGTCGGACCACGTCGTTTCCACGCCAGGATTCAAGATGGACCTGCCCAAGTTCTCTGGCTCGCCCGGCACCTTTCATGCGTGGAGCATTCGCATGAAGATGGCGCTCAAGCTCCGCGGCGACGACGTCTGGGCAGCTGTGGAGGCAGGAGCATCGTCATCGGGAGGTCCAAGCTCAGCGACACGCTCAAGTGCAAGGAGACCGACAGCAGGAGATCACGCCAACCTCACCGCTGCAAACCTCATCGCGTCCACGCTCTCAGGTTACCCCCTTCTCCTCTTCACCAACGGAGAAGCAGACGTCAACGCCGGCCAAGGATGGGCCCGGCTCAAGGACCACTACGCTTCGCAGGACCGCCTCCGCATCGCAGAGCTCAAGGAGGCGCAGCTTCACGTCCCCTGCGGCAACCTCGCCCGCTTCTTCGAGCGACACATGGAGCTGCAGCAGCAGTTGCAGGACGCAGGCGTGCGCCAGGACAACGAGGACCTCTTCACCATCGTCTGGAAGCAGCTGCCACGCTGGACAGCCCCGCTCACGCTTCCCTACTTTGCCAGTGGCCGCTTTCCCTCCCTTCTCGAGCTCAGCATCAGGCTGCAGCAGCTGGAGCAGCAGATGCGTGGTTCACGCACACAGCCGCAGGCAGGCGGCTTCATGGCAAGCGCACCGCCACGCAGAGGCGAAAGACGCGGCTTCTCCAACAGCAGCAACAACCACGGACGCCAGGGACGCAACAATGGAAACAGCAACGGCAACAGCAACGGCAAAGGGCGCCGCTTCCGTGGCAACTGTCACTACTGTGGCAAGTATGGACACCGTGCAGCAGAGTGTCGCAAGAAGCAACGCGACAACGGAGCAACAGGCTTCACTGCACAGGCACAGCATCAACATGGTCAAGACGCAGCAACCTTCGTCGCTGCCACAGCTACTACACCCACGCAGCTGCATGACCCACTCACGTGGCTTGCAGACACTGGTGCTTCACACCACCTCACCTTCGTCAAGGACGCCTTCGTGGAGCTGTCACCGCACCTGCAACAGCACCATCCACGCCACATCACTGCGTTTGGCGGCACACGTGTGCCCGTGCGCGGTGTTGGCTCTGTGCTGTTGCATGCACGCACGACGAGCGGAGCTACGATGCAGATTGTGCTACAGGAGTGCCTCTAC